CTACTTTACCTAACCCGCAACCTCCATCATCTTCTACTCCACAGACTTCACCGAGCCCTCCAAACACTGTTGAGCCACCATCCCATGAGTCCCATGAGTCAGTAATGTACCCAAAGCATCTCCTTCTTCCTAATGAGGCAATAAGAGTCTATACTAGGAGACAACAACTTCAACAGCATGTTCAAAATCAGCAAAGCCAGCCGTCCAATCCAAGCTCAAGAAATCCAGAAATAACGCAAGGTAAGGCTAAATCTAACACAGAATATAGTGTTGAGAAAGTGACAGGATATGACCCAGACTCAGACCTACCGATTGCTCAGAGAAAGGGAGTTCGCTCATGTACACAACATCCCATCCGCAACTATATGACATACTCCAAACTGTCCCAGAGATTCAGGGCATTTGTGACTACTCTAGACAACATCCAGATTCCCGGAACAGTTCATGATGCATTAAAGGTTCCAGAATGGAGAGCTGCCACTCTAGAAGAATTTCAAGCTCTTGAAAAAAACGGCACATGGACCCTAACAACTCTACCACCGGGGAAGTGAACAGTTGGGTGCAAGTGGATTTTCTCAGTGAAGCAAAAAGCTAATGGAAGCATTGAACGATTCAAAGCCCGTTTGGTAGCCAAAGGCTACACTCAATCGTACGGAATTGACTATCAAGAGACATTTGCGCCTGTAGCCAAGCTCAATACAGTGCGAGTTTTGTTATCCATTGTCGTGAACCAAGATTGGCCCTTAATCCAACTTGATGTGAAGAATGCCTTTTTGAATGGTGACTTAGTCGAAGAAGTATATATGGATATACCTCCTGGGTTTGAAACCGATCATATGCGAGGCAGAGTTTGTAGGCTACGAAAGTCACTATACGGGCTCAAGCAATCACCTGGAGCATGGTTCGATAAATTCACAAGGGTACTAAAACAAGATGGCTACTCACAGTCACAAGCCGATCACACTCTATTCTTCAAACACTTCACCAATGGTAAGATTACTGTGCTAATAGTGTATGTGGATGATATAGTTCTAACTGGAGATCATGAAGAGGAAATAAGGAGACTTAAGCTTCTGTTGTCCAAAGAGTTTGAAATCAAGGACTTGGGTCAGTTAAGGTATTTTTTGGGAATGGAAGTGGCTAGGTCAAAGGCTGGAATTTCAGTTTCCTAGCGAAAGTATGTATTCGACCTCTTTAAGGAAACCGGTATGAGTGGGTGTAGGCCGGTGGACACTCCGATGGATCCTAACACGAAGTTGATGCCTCTAACTGAAGAGATGGCGGTAGATAAAGGCCAGTATCAACGCCTAGTCGGCAAGCTGATCTACTTGACTCATACACGTCCAGATATAAGCTTTGCAGTGAGCCGTGTTAGTCAGTTCCTAAGCAATCCTTCGGTCACACACATGGAGGCAGTGGACCGGATTCTTAGATACCTCAAAAGGGATCCCGGAAAGGGACTCGTGTTCAAAAAGACCCTTAATCACTCCCTAGAGGTTTACACGGATGCAGATTGGGCTGGATCCCCTATTGACCGAAAATCAACCTCAGGGTATTGCTCCTATGTATGGGGAAATCTGGTGACATGCCGAAGTAAGAAACAGCAGGTGGTAGCACGCAGTAGTGCTGAGGCAGAATTTCAAGCCTTGGCTCAAGGTATTTGTGAAGGAATCTGGTTAAAACGGCTGCTAGATGAACTTAAAGTTGGCATTTCAGGTCCTATAGATATGATGTGCGACAACCAATCAGCTATAGCTATTGCCAAAAATCCTATCCATCATGATAGAACGAAGCATGTTGAGATCGACAGACACTTCATAAGTGAGAAGATAGAGAGCAATGTTGTATCACTAAAACATGTACCATCTAGACATCAAGCAGCGGACATCCTCACAAAGGGACTCTTTCGTCCAAACTTTATTGAGCTAAGTTCTAAACTTGGTTTAATGAGTATATACCATCTAGTTTGAGGGGGAGTGTAGGAATTCAAACTAGCCGTATAGTGTATTAGTTAGTTTCCTGATTTTGTGGATCTATAGTTACTAGAAGATATTATTCTATTGTATATAGCTGGAAGTGATTTTCTGTTAGTATCTGATTTTTAGCTCCTAGAAATCAGGATCAATCTCAACGGATCCTTGTGTATATATATGTACCTAATTGTTTCTAATGAATCATCAGAAAATTCCAATTATATTCTACTTCAACTGGAGATGATCTTGAAGAAGGGGAGAGACTAAAAAGAGAACTAGCGAAAGAATTTGAGATCAAAGATTTGGGAAGTCTCAGGTACTTTCTTGGAATGGAGATTGCCAGAAATAAATGTGGGATCTCAGTCTCACAAAGTTAGTATGTGTTGGATCTTCTAAAAGAAACGGGAATGATGGGTTGCAAACCTGTAGAAACTCCGGTGGAGCCAAGTTGCAAGAAAGGAATGAGAGATAGTGATCCTGTAGACAAAGGTAGATTTCAGCGTCTAGTTGGGAGGCTAATCTATTTGTCACATACTAGACCTGACATAGCTTTCGCTGTTAGTCGAGTTAGCCAATACATGCATGCACCCACTGAAGAACATTTGGAAGCAGTGTTTCCCATCCTGAGATATCTGAAAGGAACACCTGGACGATGCTTGTTCTTCAAAAAGGGAGATGAAAGAGGTGTAGAAGTATACACAGATGCTGATTGGGCAGGAGCTGCTGATGATAGGAGATCTAATTCAGGGTATTGTACTCTTGTTTGGGGCAATCTTGTAACGTGGAGAAGCAAGAAGAAATCTGTTGTCGCAAGGAGCAGTGCCGAAGCAGAACTAAGATCTGTGGCTCATGGAATTTGTGAGGTTTTATGGCTGAGAATGTTGTTAGATGAACTTAAGGTTGGAGTTATACTTCCATTGCGAGGAGCAGTGCCGAAGCAGAACTGAGATCTGTGGCTCATGGAATTTGTGAGGTTTTATGGTTGAGAATGTTGTTAGATGAACTTAAGGTTGGAGTTACACTTCCATTGCATGTTTATTGTGATAACAAGGCAGCCATAAATATCTCGCATAATCTTGTACATCATGACAGGACTAAACATGTGGAAGTGGATCGACATTTTAACAAGGAAAATATCGAAGAAGGAACAGTCCTTATGTCATATGTCCCTACAACTGAGCAAGCTACCAATATTTTGACCAAGGGATTGTCTAGACCCTTATTTGAAAAATTAGTAGACAAGTTGGGCATGAACAACTTATACAACCCAACTTGAGGGGGAGTGTGGACGAATCTAGAGTGATTAGGACCTATCTATGGTAATTTCCTAGGTCAAAGGAATATGCTAGGTTTATACCTATTGTATTAGGAAATGATTATTCTTCTTTATTCTTTCCTTTTCTACTCTTTTTTTAGAGCCTTTTTATGGCCGGCTGTATTTCATTCTAAACAATAAGGGAATAAGAAATAAAGCAGTGTTTTTTATTCACTGTTTTCTACCCGTGTGTTCACAAGAGGAAATTGCTAAAAACTTGGGAGGTGAAGAGAAAGACTACAAGGATATTTGGGAGATCATTGATGAAAAGTGGGATTTTCAGTTACATCAACATTTACACGCCGCGGCATACTACTTGAATCCAAGGATTCGATACTCCGATAATCCTTCCAACCATCCTGAGATCAAACTTGGTTTGTACCATTGCATGAATAGGATGTTTAAGGACCCAAATGATCTAGAGAAGGCCGACCTCCAACTAGATGAATTTCGACAGAAGAAAGGGTTTTTTGCCTTCATCAAGCTCAAGCATCATACATGAAACGCAATCCTAGTAAGTAGAAACTATCTTATTAATTTTGGCTAATAAAACAGTTTAGATTGTTTGGCTAATTATTTTCATCTCAATTTTAAATTCAGATGATTGGTGGTCCCAATTTGGAGATGGTACCCCCAGAGTTGGCTAGCTTTGCAGTTAGAGTTTTGAGTCTCACTTGTTCATCTTCGGGATGTGAACACAATTGGAGTACCCACAACCAAGTTCATACCAAGAGAAGAAATTGCTTGACTGCACAAAAGATAAATTCCTTGGTCTACATCATGTTCAACAAGAAGCTAAAAGATCAACATTTGAGAAAAAAGGCACTTTAGCCAGATGAGGATCCTTTAATCATAGATGAGTTGCCATTTGATGATGAATGGGTAGCTGAAAATGAAAATGAAGGCGAAATTCAAATGGAGGAAGCAATTGACAATCTTGACATTGATCTTTTTGCAGATGGAGAAGGTATTGGTACTAGTACTAGAGCTCGAAAAGGCTCTAAAAAGAAAAGGACGGGTTAGTGGCTTGATATGCCTTAAGAATTATTAGTTGTCTTCTCTATTATTTACTCTAATTATCATATCAGAGATAGTAACTTAAGTTTAATTTTGATTATTAGGTGATAGAGGCAAGGAGACCGTGCAAGAGGATGAAGAAGAAGAGTGGATAGACTGTGATTCAGACACTGACAGTCAAGAATTCGTGGAGAATGAGAAATTTAAATTGGCTGATGCCTCTCTTAGTAGTGATGATGATTGATGAGTTTGGAGATCAGGCTTTTAGAAGTACATTATGAACCTTATGAGTTATGATACTAGGATTTGATAATTATTTAGTCTTTTTTAAGCTTCTAGGAGTGAAATAGACTTCTCTTTATGTGGATGTTTGGTTAAATTTCTTATTTTTTATGATTATTAAGTATGGATTTAGTTTTGGTTACTATTTTTTTTCTAAATTTTTTTATAGGCATATTTTGAGGCTTACGCCTCGCCTCGTAAAGGCAAAACGCCTCGAGGCCCGATTCCGCCTTTTAAAACCTTGCCTATATCTCCCACTCTATTTAAAAGAAGTGAAACCACCAAGATTGAACCTTGGATTACACACTCATACACCCAACCACTTGAGCTAGCCTTGAGTGGCAAAATTTTGATAATAAAAATGAAATGTAGAATTTCAAAATCAAAATCAAAATTATTAAGCATTGATATACCTGAAGTTCGCCTCAAAGCAAAGCTCGCTATAGCCCATGAAACATTCCTCAGCTTCACCTTAGCTTCCTGATAAATTTTAGGGTCAGGAAATAAATTCTGGAACTTTTCAGCATGATAATGCCTAAGTGAGCTATATTAAATAACATGTTGAAGAATCGGATTGTGACTTTTAAGAGATAGAAGTAGGTAAACCTTCTGGTCAAATTCTTCATCATCATCACTCTCTTCATCTGATGATGAAGAGTCTCCTCCAATTGCATCATAAAACTCATCTTGCGCTTCCTCTTCATTTTCTCCATTTGGAGGGGAAACATGAGAAATTTTTGACTTGACAACTGTAGTAGCTACTTCAAATTTGAGCGCAGGATTGGCACTAATATATTCCTTAAGACCTGAAATTTTTAAACAGAGGACAAAATGCTTCTTCTGCGTAAATATTATGGAAAGCTAAACATCAAATCTAACAAGTTTAATCCCAAATTTAATTTTTACATTAAAAAAAAACAAAAAAAGAAGAAAACTAAACCAAGTATTGTACCGTACACCCAAGTACATTTTTTAATAGAAAGTAATTTTTTTATATCCAAAAATCCCCAAACCCATTTTGTGAGCCCAAGTTTAGAACTGGAGTCTTTTGCCAAACCCTACAATATTTGGAAGGCAGGAAACTATTACTTTTGTCATGTAGATGCCCATGAGGTGGTTCGAACCCCAAATGTTCTGGGACCAAAACAAAGGCCTGACCATTCCCAGCAAACATCCTATGGGTCCAGACACCCAAGTAAAAAGTTTCTGTAGTAGATTTATAAGTGTCATGGTGTTGCATAGTTCTACTGTTATTTGATTAGGCTTCTCAGGATAATTGTGCTTAGTGGGACAAAGATTTACAAAGCTTTTTGTTAGAGATTTTCCTTTTCTCCTAAATAATCTAGGTTCAAAGGATATTCTTTACTGCCTTCTGTCCGATCTCCTAATTAATCTAGAGAGGGTTTCAAAGTGTTGATTCAACTTCAGATTTGCTGGTCCATTTTATTTAGTTCTATTATGTAGAAAATTGACAAAACAAATGATTCAGTTGAAAGAAAGAATTATTTCTGACCTGACACTTGGCACAATAATGCATAAGGAACACTCTTTTCGAACTTCGAAGAGTGACTTCTCTTCCATCTCCACCAGCCTGATGAATTTATCTCCAACATTTGTGTCACAAGACATTTAGGCATATTTGAACCCATTGACGTATTCAAGTCTCTAATCTCCCAAGTTGATGCTATAACCAAATCATAATAACAATATCACTATAAAGGATAAAAAGGCAGGCATTTCATCATACCAGTAGGAAAAAGAAAAAGAAATGAAATTATTTTGTTTCTGGAAATAATGTAACGTGAACTTTTTCCATCAAGTGAATGATCTTACGATTAATTTTTGTACGATGGTACCCAGATCTTGGTGGCTTCTTCTTATGTACAGCTGGAACTTGCAAGATAGCTGCATGAATGGTACAGTGGCATATTTAGCCAAATTCAAAGGCAAACAACATGTTTTCTTGCGATGAAAAATGGCAAAAAGATAATTCCACTGGGGCAAACTAAAGTCAAGAAGTACCATATGGTCATGCATTGTGTGAGCTTAGTTTTGTATTCCACTGACATTTAATAAGATGCGTAATTACATATTTACATGTTATTGAACCAAAACCAAGAAAAAAACGCACTTGACAACTTCAAGCTATCATTTGAATTGAGGTGATTTGAGTTTCAAACTTGTTTTTGATTTGAAAGGCCAAAACTTCTCAACTTTTCAGAAAACTATAGGACAATAACTGCTCTCTACAATTAATCGCTTTCATTGTCATCCTAATAGAATGCCATACTTTAGTACGGAAAGCATAAAAGGTGTCATATTAAGCCTTAGATTTCAATGTGCATTAAAGGTTTCTGGTACTGTATTCCTCAAATTAACCCATGCCTCTACTTCATAACCCTTACATATTGTAGGTTTTAGGGCAGAAAAGAAAGTATTTCTCCTTGATTATTTTCTGTACAAGAGTTACAATATTTATAGGAAAACCATCCCACGGAATAGGGAAAGTAAATCCCTGAGGGAGATCCTTATCTCAAGGAATCTCTTTAAAAATTGAAAGAATAAACTACTTTCCTAATTTATCTCTAAGCCCTTATTAACCGGATTGGTACATATCCGGTCCATGACTTTAGTCTACTTCCCTGATTTCTACACTTCCCCTCAAGTTGGTGCATAGATATCTATCATGCCCAACTTGCTAATGAGAAACTCGAAGTTTGGTCTGAATAATCCTTTAGTAAGAACATTGGCCACTTGTTGTGAGGTTGGAACAAATGGCATACTTTTCCTTTATAAAATGCCAGTCAATCTCAACATGTTTTGTTCTGTCATGTTGGACTGGATTGTGGACAATGCTAATTGCTGCCTTGTTGTCGCAATACAGCTTCATAGGCATGATCACAGGTCTTCTCAGTTCCTCCAAAATCCGTTTAAGCCATATCATCTCACAGATCCCTTGTGCCATTGATCTATATTCTGCTTCTGCACTACTTTGGGCCACTACGTTTTGTTTTGTACTCCTCCACGTTACTAAGTTTCCCCACACAAACGTATAGTAGCCAGATGTGGATCTTCTATCTGAAGTAGACCCTGCCCAATCTGCATATGTTTAAGCTTCAATACCTCGTTGTTCATTCTTCTCAAAAAACAGTCCTTTTCCCGGTGAATTCTTCAAGTACCTTAGGATGTGGTAGGCTGCTTCTAGATGTTCTTCATGAGGAGAGTGCATAAACTGACTTACTAGGCTAACAGCGAATGCTATGTCTGGTCGTGTATGTGACAGGTAGATTAGCTTCCCAACTAGTTTTTGGTATTGGGCCGTATCCACTGGTCTTCCCTCTTTGTTTCCAAACTTCTAATTCGGATCAATTGGCGTTTCTACAGGACGACATCCACTCATCCCAGTCTTTATAAGTAGATCAATCACGTACTTCCTTTGTGAAACTGCAATCCCCTTTCTTGATCGGGCTACTTCCATACCAAGGAAATACTTTAGTGAGCCTAGATCTTTAATCTCGAATTCAAAAGCCAAAGCCAGACTCTGCTTTAGGCGATTCATCTTAGCAATATCATCCCCAGTAAGAATGATGTCATCAACATCTACTATAAGGACAGCTACCTTCCCATTAGAGTGCCTTGTGAACATAGTATGGTCTGCTTGCCCCTGGTCATATCCCTCTCTCTTCACAAACTGAGTAAATCTCTCGAACCACGCTCTTGGAGATTGTTTTAAACCATATAAGGACTTTTTGAGCTTGCATACCAGGTTTCCATATTTTTCCTCAAACCCTGGAGGTGGATCCATGTAGACTTCTTCATCCAGATCGCCATTAAGGAAAGCATTCTTCACATCTAGTTGTTGTAGTGGCCAGTCTAAGTTACCTGCAAGAGTTAGGAGTCCCCTGATAGTATTGAGCTTTGCCACTGGAGCAAAGGTTTCAAGGTAGTAAATCCCATATGTTTGAGTAAACCCTTTGGCTACTAAACGTGCCTTGTATCTCTCCAAAGATCCATATGATTTGTATTTCATTGTGAACCCCCATTTGCAGCCAACAGTCTTCTTTTCTTTCGGCAGTTCTGTCACTTCCTAAGTTCCATTCTTTTCAAGGGCCTTCATTTCTTCGAGAACAGCATTTAGAGCATCCTGCACATTCTCTGGAGTCTCCACACTAGACAACTGTGAGGTAAACGCAGAAAAAACAGGTGATAGGTTTTTGTAGGACACAAAGCTAGACATGGGATACTTTACACAACTTCTGACCCCTTTGCGTTTGGCAATAGGGAGATCAGGCTCAGGTATATTGGGCTCGGATTCGGGATTAGACAAGTTTGTGTGGATAGGTACTGTGTGAGGATTACCTAGAGCAGAATTGGGGATGTCTTGTGATGAAGGATCCGGACTGATTTGTGGTTCAGGCTCTAGTTTCAGTCTCTACTCCTTGCTTCCGGTTCTTCCTCCTGTAAACCAGCAGTTTTTTTGTTCCTGTTTTTTCCCTATTTGCATCTTTATTAATGTTATAAGATGACTCTATGGACTCAAAGTTCAAGTTTTCATTACTTAAGTCACTCAACTTCATATTTATTAGGTAATTTGGGATCTTTGTTATGGATTGAAGAACAGTTTTAGTTACAGTTCCTATTTCCAAGTTCGAATCTTCATTTATTTTCTCCCCCTAAAGATGAGTGCCAAAAAATGGTTGAGACTCAAAGAAGGTAACATCCATTGTGACAAACATTTTGTGAGATTTTACGTCATAGCACTTGTACCCCTTTTGGTTCGGAGCACATCCTACAAATATACACTTCCTGGCACGACAATCTAACTTTCTCCTATTTTGACTGTGAATATGAACGAATGCACTACACCTAAACACTCTCAGGGGTAAATCTGTTGTCAACTTAAAGGTAGGAAATGTATTCTTGAAGACATTTAAAGGTGTTTGATAATTTAGAACTTTGGTAGGCATGCGATTTATTAGGTATGTTGCAGTTACGAGTGCCTCTCCCCAAAGATACTTAGGAACACCATTAGTAAATAATAATGCTCTAGTGACTTCTAGGAGGGGTTTGTTTTTTCTTTCTGCTATCCCATTTTGTTGGGGTGTATCTGAACATGAACTTTGATGTATTATGCCCTTTTTTGAAAAATATCCCCTAGGATTTCATTAAAGTATTCTCTACCATTATCATTCGTAAACACCTTTATTTTTTCTTGAAATTGTGTTTCAATCATTGTATAGAATACCTGAAAAATCTCTTTTACTTCGGACGTCCCTTAATAAATATACCCAAGTGAGTCGTGTGTGATCATCTATAAAGCTAACAAACCATTTTTTTTCCATACATTGTTAAGGCCCTAGATGGTCCCCAAACATCATTATGAATTAGCATAAACGGTTTTGAAACTTGATATGGTCTAGGAGGAAAGAAAGAACGATGGTGCTTAACTAGTTCACAAATCTCACATTTAAACGAATATGGACTTTTATTTCTAAATAAATCAGGTAGCAAATGTTTTAAGTAATAAAAACTTGGATGTCCTAATCAATAATGCCAAAGCATAACATCATTAGAAACGGAAATGGAGTTTAAAAAGGAATTTTGAACTTGGTGTCCTAAGTCGATTCCATCTTCAAGAACATAGAGACCTCCACTTTCTCCAGCACTGCCAATCGTCCTCCCCGAGACCATGTCCTGAAACTCACACCAAGCGGAGTCAAAAATAACACGACAATTAAGGGAATTTGTTATCTGACTAATAGACACAAGGTTACATGAGAGTTTAGGAACATGAAGTACATCATGGAAGATTATAGAATTGGAAATTTTAATAGTCCCTGTTCCAGCAATTGCGGAGAGGGAACCATCAGCTATTCAAATCTTTTTATTCCCTGCACATGGGTATAAGTTGAAAAAAATTGGGAGCAACCTGTCATGTGATTAGTGGCTCCAGAATCTATGATCCAGGAGCTGTTTTGTTTAGGATTGACACTGAGGAAGGCTGAGACAAGATTACCTGTTTGGACAAAGGAACAGTAAGGGGTTGATTGGTTTACTTGGAATTGTGAAGACTGAAAAAACTTGTGCAGTTGCTCCAATTGCACCTTCATGAAAGGCAACCCTTCAGGAGTACTTTGTTGTCCCTGATCTTCACTGGTTGCTTGAGCCGAGAAGCCCTTGTTATCAGCATTCTTCTTCTTCCAGTTCTGCGATTTTCCATTAATCTTCCAGCAGTTTTCACATGTATGCATTGCAATGATCACACCAAGGCTTCTTTTTCTTGTCATTTTCCGATTCATTCCTCATTGACACAAGGGCAGAATTGTCAATCACAGCAGTCACAGGTTTGTCATCTTCTTCAGTTTTCAACATGACCTTCCTCCTAGTCCCCTCTCTCCTAATTTCAGAAAAAGCCTCCCGAAGAATTGGTAGAGGGTTTTTCCCAAGGATCCTAGACCTAATCTCATCAAAGACTCAATCCAAACCAGCCAAAAATAGGTACACTCGATCACTCTCTTCTTTTTTCATGAATCTCGCGCTATCAGTTGGGCAGTCCCACTCATCATTGTAACATTGATCTGACTCTTGCCATAGGGAAACCATCTCATTATAATAAATTGTAACCTCACGCTCACACTATTTGGATTTCCACAACTTGATTTTCAATTCAAAGATTTGTGAAAAATTTTCAATGTCAGAATAAGTCTCTAACCGCATCCCATACATCTTCTACAGTAGAAAGAAAATGGTAGGGTTTACCTATGGTTGGTTCCATAGAGTTGATCAGCCAAGCAGTGACTAAGGAGTTTTCTGATCTCGATGCGTTCAGTTTCGGATCTCCATCTCCAGGTTTCTTCACTTCTCCATTCAGATGACCGAGTTTCCCTCGTCCATCTATGGCCAGCTTCACTGATTGTGCCCATTCTAGGTAGTTTTTCCCGTTCAATTTGTGGAGAGTCAATTGGAATGAAAAATGAGAGGAGTCTCCCCCTTGAGCCATGGTGGTTCGATCTGGTTCACCACGATTAGGGCCTTCTGCCCTAGAGGATGCCGAGGATCTTCTTCTATAATGGCTGTTTCAGCCATCCCAAAAGCTTAAGCTGTTAGGAGGTGGGCCAATAATAGTTTAATACTTTAACACTCCCCCTCACGTGGGGGCTGGACAATGGGCAATCGTATGGGTAAATTAATTAGAAAGCCCAACACGTGAATATTTAAGCCCGAGATATATTAAAGACCCAACACATGATGACAATTTAAATTGGGATAGAGAGTACAATTACGGGGGTTTGAACTCAGGACCTCCCACTCTGATACCATGTAGGTTTCAGGGTAGAAAAGAAAGTATTTCTCATTGATTATTTTATGTACAAGGGTTACAATATTTATAGGAAAATCATCCCACGGAATAGGGAAAGTAAATCCCTTGATTGAGGGAGATCCTTATCTCAAGGAATCTCTTTAAAAATTGAAAGAATAAACTACTTTCCTAATTTATCTCTAAGCCCTTATTAACCGGATTGGTACATATCCGGTCCATGACTTTAGTCTACTTCCCTGATTTCTACACATATCATGCTCCTTTTTCCAATATTGTAAAAAACATATGATATGCACTCTTTTTTATTATTATTATTATTATAAGCAATCTTTCACACTCACAATAACCTAACAAAGGCAAGATTGTATTTGTAGTATGGTTAAGAGGAAACTATGGTAAAGATGTTTCACCAATAAATCACGGCATTCAAGACTTTTCTCATCTCTCTTTAGTTGTCTTCCTCTCTCACCCTCCCCATATTAATATCTCCATTCGATACTCTTCAAAGTAAATATAATACTCAAGTTTAGAAGCTTCTCAATGCTTAGAGGTGGGTCAGTTAGAATCTTTCAATGCTTAGCAGATGATGAGAGACTTCTTGTGGGGAGGGTTGGAGGAGGCAAGTTCGGATCACCTTGTAGCTTGGGAAAATGGTTTGTAAGACTAAAGAGAACAGCAGCTTGGGGGTTGGGAACTTGGTTTCTCGAAACAAAGCTTTACTTTCTATATGGCTTTGGAGGTTTTCGAGGGAAGGAGGCTCGCTTTGGCATTGGTTAGTAGCATATACGGTTCGGATTATGGCAATTGGTTGTCTGGAGAGGGTGGTAGGGTATCATTTAGGTGTCCTTGGAAAGCAATTCGAGCCTTGCAAAATGAATTTTTAGCCCATGTTAAAATTAAGGTCGGGGGTGGTATTAGAGTGAGATTTTGAGCAGAGGAGTGGGTGGGGGAAGTTTGTTTCTCTAATAGTTTCCCGAGTCTTTACAGAATTTCTTCCCTTAAAAATGCATCAATTCCTTCATTTTACTCGTTTGATCATGATAATATTGTTTCTTGGAATTTTCACTTTAGTAGGGGCCCTAGTGAGAAAATTGGGTGAGGTTTTGGAGCTTTTGTGTATCTTGGAAGGGGTTAGGCCGAATTTGTCAGATAGATGGGTTTGGGATCTTGAGGGTCATGGACTGTTTTCCTGTAAGTCTTACTTGAACTTCTTTATTGATGATCACTCCCTTTCAGATTTCAAATTCTATCATTTTATTTGGAAAGCCTCAGTTCCAATTAAAGTTCAGGTGTTTGGCTTCTTGTTTCTAGTAAACTTAACACTCATGATTTGTTACAAAGAAGAAAGTCTTATTTATTTGTGTCTCCTGGTTGGTGTGTTCTTTGTAGAAAAAATGGTGAAACTGTTGATCATCTATTCCCATTGTCCCTTTTCCCTGTGCATTTGGTACCGAGTTTTGTCTGAGTTTGAAGTTTCTTGGGTGAACGCAAAAGCGGTTACGGAAATCTTCAAAGGTGATTTTTTGGATAGTAGAAGGAGAAGGCTTTGGAATGTTGCTACTCTTTCTGTTACTTGGGCTCTTTCGTTAGAGAGAAACAACAGAAACTTTTATATATATATATATATATATATAAGAAACGAGTAACTTGTATTAAATAAAAAAAGAAAGCAAATACAAAAGGGGAGAAGTGGTCCACCAAGAAAACACAAAAGCTACGAACCACAGGAAATAAGCCTAAAGACCTACTAAACTGGAATCCAAAACGAGGCTTAATGATATATACTATCCCACCCCCTTAGAGGGAGATGTTAATGTAGTTTGAGACAGAATCAAGTTTTGTGTGGCTTTATGGCTGCTCAAGTTAAAGGCCTCATTGCTTTTTCCATTTTGGATTTGCTTAGAGGATGGGATTTAGTTCTTCATTAGATTTGTGATTTTTTTTTCAGCTTTTTGGTGCCGGCTTTGTTTTGTTTAGGTGGACGCCTTTTCCCTGTTGTACCCTTTATTTGTATCTGTTTCAATAAAATTTTGTTTCTTATCAAAAAAAAAAAAAAGTTGGCATCAATAAAGTAGCAAGGTATGACCAGTTTCACAACTAAGAAGACATTCAAGAGAACTAATTAGCAGTTATATTCTCTTACTATATGTTCCATCTTGCCCACGAAACCATTGCCTAGAGAAAACAAAATCTCTTTTGGAATGCCACCTGTAGATCAAATCACAGTACAGATCAATTTCATCTTCTCACAACAACAAAAATTGAACAGAGACCAAACGTTATTGCTCAAAGAAATTTCCATTAAATAATGCAGTTTTTTTTTCTCTTTTTCAGTTTAGCTAATGCATTATGAATACCAATAGACATTAAAAACCAATGAGGGGTGTTGCCCCAGAAATACAATGAGAAAAAAAGCATTAGGCCCCATTTAAATGACTTGCTTATGCTTTTAGGCAGTAAAAGACAATAATAATCTTTTCAACTGATGGGAGAAACTATTCCTCTAAAAACATCTATAACATAATGGAATCAAAAACTGGAGCTTAAGTCTGTTATGACATGTGAGTTTCCCACTGTTGACAAATCTGTCAAGATTCGTTCACTCGAAATCAGGAAAATCACTCCATGATTTCCCTCAGATTCTCAGGGAAATCATTCCCTGATTTGTCTAGTCAATGATCGGATCCTTAGAGAAAGTTTCCTAGTATTTCAAGTCAATGCAAGCTGTATAGGTGGCTGTCATACCAGAATTAATTACCTGATTCTTTTGTGATTAAGAGTTTCCTAGTTTAGGCTATATACCAAATTAGACAATACCCCTGTACTCTATAAATAGTTGTAATTTTTCATCAATGAAATAATATACAGTGAGAACATTTGTTTGTTTACCCACCTTCCTATTTTAATCTATTAATTTCTGTACCGAATAGAAAAATGCAAATAAAAAAGTGCACAGAAAATATATGAATGGCAACTATAAGGGCATGGTGCAAAATTAATTCTTCAACCATCTAAGATAATGGATGTTGTGGGAAAATACGTGTAATTAATTGGTTAGCTAATTTAGGAAATTGTATTCTATTGTATCCTAGGATTAGGCCTATACAGCTAAGTTTCCTTTTTCTGTTAGGCGTTCCCATAAATCATGGGATTTGACTTGGTAGTTTCTTAATTTAGTACTTGGTAGTTTCCTAATTTAGTGCTAGGGTTGTTATGTATAAAGCTAACCTTTGTTGTGATATTTCAGTATAAACGATTCTTCCATTCAATCGTTGATATGGTATCAAAGCTCCAGGCTCTCTGGGATTTCTCGATTGTTTGGCCTTCATCGCCGTTCAAAATCAAGCCTTTTCATCAGCCTTAATTGCTGTGTCTGTTGCCAGAATTTCCAAGTTTTCTTTTCTCAATCATTGTTTCTTGTGTCAATGTTTTTTCTCGGTTTTTATTACCAATTGAGATTCTCGATTCTCTCAATCTCCCATCGTTGTTCTTCTCGTCGTTTCCTAATTTTCAATCATGTCAGAGACGACTGAAAGCAGTGCCAACAACACTCCGGTGGTCAAATCAACCAAAAACGAGACGAACTCATCAACTGGAGATTTGCAAAATATTCAAGCAGCCTATATAGGTTGGATGGAAAAAACTTCCTCAAGTGGTCGCAACTTGTTCGTGGGACGCTGAAAGGATTAGAGAAGATCAGTCACCTCACAGGTACAGGGCCGAACGAAGCAGATCCTCGTTTTGAAGCATAGGATGAAGAAGACTCCATGATTATGGCGTGGCTATGGAATTCTATGACTCCAGACATAAGTGACACATGTATGCTCTTGACTACTACCAAGGACATTTGGGACGAGGTCCAACAAACATATTCCAAGGCTAGAGATGTGGCTCAAGTGTATGAAATCAAGGTGAAGACAATGGCTGCAAAATAAGGGACAAAAACTGTCACCACATATGCCAACCAACTGAAGTCCTTATGGCAAGAGCTTGATCACTACAGGGTAATGAAAACTAAGTGCCCTGAGGATGTGGCTGTGCTAAAGAATTTTATTGAACAGGATAGGGTATATGACTTTCTTTGTGGACTTAACCCGATATTCAATCGAGTGAGAATCCAGATTCTCGGCAAGGAGGAGATTCCGTGTTTTAATGAAGTGGTGGCACTCATTCAAGGTGAGGAAAGCATAAGAAGTCTGATGCTTGAATCACAGAGCACAGATGGATCGGCTATGGTGGCTAGTGTGGTAGCAAATCAATCCAGAACACAGAGAGAGGAACAGCCCTTGAAGCAGGAAGAAATAGCCAATTGAAGACTCATGACCGTGACGAATTATGGTGTACTTTCTGCAAAAAGTCTCACCACACTCGTGAAAAATGCTGGAAACTTCATGGAAAGCCCCCAAGCCATGAATGGGGCTAGAGAGGAGATCAGACTCGGAGCAATGGACCTCCAAGCAGTGAATGGAGTCAGAAAGGAGATCAATCATGGAGTAATGGACAAGTCCATATTGTTGCCACACCACAAGGTGAATCCGCACCACAGGGGTCGAATAATCTCAACCAGGAGGAGATTACGAGGGTGAGATCTCTTATCAACAGTCTTGAAAGGCCTCCAGGTACTTGTTCTTTGGCATATTCAGGTAAGTTTCCATCTTCCTTTGGATTAAATGCCTTGGATACAACCTTTACCAACTCCTGGATCATGGATTCAGGAGCTACGGACCATATGACCCACTCATCAAAGTTTTTCTCAACCTACACTCCATGTCCCAGTAGTAGGAAACTCGCCACAGCCGATGGATCCTTAACAACTGTAGCCGGCGTAGGAGATGTCAAAATAAGCCCATCAATGACCTTAAGGAATGTCCTTCATGTTCCTAAATTGTCCACCAACCTTGTCTCTATACAAAAACTCACTCGAGATTTATGTTGTAATGTGGTTTTTCACAGTAGTTAGTGTATTTCAGGACAAGGATTTGGGGAGGACGATTGGACGTGCTAGAGAATGGGATAGCGTCTACTATCTTGAAGCACCGAGTCAGTTGAACACGACCAAGGGCAGATTTTCTCATTCCTTCATATCAGAGTTCATTTCATCCAATAAAGAGAAAATTCTACTTCACCATTGCCGTTTAGGACATCCATCATTTAGGGTTGTTAAGATCATGTTTCCTTCATTGTTTACAAACTTAGATGTTGAAGATTTTCATTGTCAGGTGTGTGAACTTGCTAAAACACAAGCGTGTATCTTTTCCAACTAGCAATGAAAGAAAATCTATTCCTTTCTATCTTATTCACACCAATATTTGGGGCCCATCTACTGTCCCTAATGTTTATGGGGCAAGATGGTTTGTTTCTTTCATTGATGATTGCACTCATGTTACCTGGCTTTTTCTACTCATACATAAATCTGATATTAGTATTGTACTCCCAAACTTCTGTTCCATGATCAAAATCAATTTGGGGTCAATATCAAAAGGTTTGGGTCGGATATTGCTAGGGACTATTTCAACCAAATTCTTAACCCAGACTTTCAGAAAGAGAGAACAGTTCATGAGTCGTCTTGTGTTAATACTCCACAGCAAAATGGGGTAGCAGAAAGGAAAAATGGTCACCTACTTGAAAAAACCCGAGCCATGTTGTTTTAGAAATATGTCTAAAGTTTTTTGGGGGGAAGCAGTTCTTACAGCCACTCACCTCATAAATCGGTTGCCTTCTTGAGTATTGGGTTTCAAGAGTCCCATGGACATCCTTTCATCCTTTTTACCCAAACATAAACACTACAAACAACCTTATTCCAAGAGTTTTCGGGTGTGTATCCTTTGTCCATGTCCATAGTCAAAACAGAGGGAAATTAGATCAAAGGGCTCTAAAATGTGTCAAAGGGCTCTAAAATGTGTCATTGTGAGCCATTCGTCAACTCATAAAGGGTATAAGTGTTACCACCCTCCATCAAAGAAATCTATGTCTCGGTGGATGTCACTTTCAATGAACAAGAGTCTTATTTCACCAATCCTTATCTTCAGGGGGAGAATTCAACTAGGGAAGATAAGGAAAGTTTTTGCTTGACCTTGATCTGCCACCAATCCTCGTGTCTAACCCCCTACATCCAAATCTCATACCGAACCTCCTAGTTCATCTGAAAATCAATCTGAACCTAAGAATCAATCTGTACCTGTGTCTGAACCCGTGCCTGTGCAACCTGAATCTGTGCATGATCCCAAACCTGTGACTGAATCTGCTCTTCGACATGGGAGATTTGATGAAGGCAAGGTGTATACAAGGAAGAAGATGGATGTTCCTGAACCTAAGCAGGTCCAAGAGTCCAACTCAGATCCTTTGAATGAGGTAACAATTTCTAACCCTACATTACAAAGTGAAACTGAAGTTCAGGTGGAAAATGATGACCAGGACCTGCCAATTGCCATTAGGAAAGGAACCAAAGAATGCACAACATGACCATTATACCCACTAAGACATTTTCTATCATTTAAAAATTTCTCACCATCTCACAGAGCCTTTCTTGTAAGCCTAAATACCATCACCATCCCTACCAGTTTATCTGAGGCTTTGTCTAGGGAAAAATGGAAAAAGCCATGAAGGTGGAGATGGAGGCATTAGAAAAGAACAAAACTTGGGAGTCGGTAAAGTTACCAGCAAGAAAGAAGTCAGTGGGTTGTAAATGGGTGTATACAGTTAAGTATAGAGCATATGGGTCAGTGGAAAGATACAAGGCTCGATTGGTAGCCAAAGCGTATACTCAGACGTATGAGATTGACTAACTGGAAACTTTTGCCCTTGTTGCGAAGATGAATACAATAGACTATTGTTGGCCCTTGCAACTATGGTTGGGAGTTGCAGCAATTAGATGTCAAGAATGTGTTCTTACATGGGGAACTAGAAGAGGAGATTTACATGGAGATTCCACCGGGTTATGCAAAGAACATGGCTGCTCATACTGTCTATAAATTAAAAAAGGCTCTGTATGACCTTAAGCAATCATCACGGGCATGGTTCGGAAGATTTGCAAGGGTTATGTTGGCTATGGTATATAAACAAGGCCAAGGAGATCACACACTGTTCATTAAACACCCTCCTTCAGGGGGAGTTACAGCCCTTCTAGTGTGTATGTTGATGATATAATAGTAACAAGGAACGATGATAAGGAGAAATAGGTTTTGAGTCAATGTTTGGCTAAGGAATTTGACATCAAGGCATTGGATAGGTTGAAGTATTTTCTCGGGATTGAGGTCGCACACTCAAGGCAGGGAATTTTTATCTCTCAACAGAAGTATGTTACAGATCTTCTCAACGAGACAGGCAAGACTGCATCCAAACCAGCAAGCACTCCTATGAACCCGAATCTCAAGCTTGGAAAAGCAGAAGATGATGCTGTGGTAGACCAAGAAATGTATCAACACCTGGTAGGAAGACTCATCAATCTCTCTCACACATGACCAGATATAGCATATGCAGTGAGTGTGATCAGTCAATTTACGCATAGTCCTAATAAAGTTCATCTGCAAGCAGCTCACAGAGTACTTCATTATCTTAAGGGAACACCAGGAAAGGGGATCTTATTCAAAAGAATAAGATGCTGATTATGCTTGAAGCAGGAAATGGAAGATTGATACTTGAAGCGTAGACTGATGCAGATTATGCTAGATCTACTAGTATATTGATGATATAATACAGCCCTTCTAGTGTATGTTGATGATATAATAGTAACAAGGAACGATGATAAGGAGAAATAGGTTTTGAGTCAATGTTTGGCTAAGGAATTTGACATCAAGGCATTGGGTAGGTTGAAGTATTTTCTCGGGATTGAGGTCGCACACTCAAGGCAGGGAATTTTTATCTCTCAGAAGAAGTATGGTACAGATCTTCTCAAGGAGACAGGCAAGACTGCATCCAAACCAGCAAGCACTCCTATGAACCCGAATCTCAAGCTTGGAAAAGCAAAAGAGGATGCTGTGGTAGACCAAGAAATGTATCAACACCTGGTAGGAAGACTCATCAATCTCTCTCACACATGACCAGATATAGCATATGCAGTGAGTGTGATCAGTCAATTTACGCATAGTCCTAAGAAAGTTCATCTGCAAGCAGCTCACAGAGTACTTCATTATCTTAAGGGAACACCAGGAAAGGGGATCTTATTCAAAAGAATAAGATGCTGATTATGCTTGAAGCAGGAAATGGAGGATTGATACTTGAAGCGTAGATTGATGCAGATTATGCTAGATCTATTGTTGATAGGAGGTCAACTTCAGGATATTGCACCTTCCTTGGTGGGAACCTTGTGTTCGGGAGAAGTAAGAAACATGGTGTGGTAGCCTGGTATATGTGAACTACTTTATCTAAAGATCATTCTTGAAGATTTGAAGATTAAGTGGGACGGCCCTATGAGACTCTACTGGACAACAAGTCTGCAATTAGCATAGCTCACAACTCGGTACAACATGACCGAACAAAGCACATTAAAGTCGACTGACACTTTATTAAAGAGAAGCTGGTAGTGGACTGATTTGTACACCTTATGTGTCTACACATGGTCAACTTGCTGATGTTCTAACAAAAGGGTTGAGTTTTTCAGACAATCCAAGCTGAGAATGGAAAATAACTATTCACCAGCTTGAGGGGGAGTGTGGGAAAATACGTATAATTAATTGGTTAGCTAATTTAGAAAATTGTATTCTATTGTATCCTAGGATTAGGCCTATACAGCTAAGGTTCCTTTTTCTGTTAGGAGTTCCCATAAATCATGGGATTTGACTTGGTAGTTTCATAATTTAGTACTTGGTAGTTTCCTAATTTAGTGCTAGGGTTGTTATGTATAAAGATAACCTTTGCTGTAATAATGAGCAGTGTATAAAACGATTCTTTCGTTCAATCTTTGATAGATGTCAACAAGTATACAAATTTGGTCGGCACATATATGTTAACGTTACCGAGTAAGATATTTCGGATCATATGTCCCGTAGACAACATCATAGTGTCCATCATAAGAATCTACCAGCTCCAAGTCACCGGTCAGCATATCCCATCTGTGAAAAGAAAATTATCAGATGAAAGTCGTCTCACCATGTATCCTCTAAAAAGATGGTTACTTACTCATATCTTTGCCGCCGCTCAATGTTCAAAACCACTTCAAAAGCAGTGTCGGCGCTTGCATCAACAACGGCAGTAGCCTTCACGAGAATGCTTTTACCACTCTACAAAAAAGTGAAATGCCATTATGAAAGAACTTGAAACCTTTTAAATTCCATGAAATAGTCATTCTTTATCACCAATTGTATGTTAGAATTCCATTGAAACAATACAGTAAGTGAGAATCAATATAGGCTAAAAGAAGAGGTTACCTGCGAGTCAGCAACATCTTCAAAGATTCTAACACCTGAAACCAGAAAAACAAAAAGTATTGAGCAACTAAAACTAATTGTCTTCCTTCCCTTCACGTATCACAAGAACATAAGCAATATGCAAATTAAAAAGCACCGTGAACCTATCTTTTTAAATAGACCACAACCATATACTTTTTTTCTTATCTCTTTTTTTCTTTTGTTAAACACTACCGTATGATATTCACTTCCTTATTGATTAAGAGCCTCGAAGAAATTCTGAAGTTTTAAAGAAACAAATATCCCAAAACTTCAAGGCTGAATAAAATTGATCCAATGGATAGTGATCTAAGCTTAGGAAGGAAGTAGCACTGAAAGAAAATAAGTTATGCCCAAGCTTCATTCCAGAAGGGATAAAATAATAATAATAATATTAATAATAAGGAAAAATCATCAAAGGGGAAAGACGTTTTAAAGACCTTTCTCCTATTTCTGCAAAAAGAAAAATGTAGCTTTCAGTAAAATTCAAGGTATTACAAACAAAAACTTGATACGCCTTGCTCTTACCACCAACCCCTCCCCCACCATTCTTGACAATTCTATAAAAGAATTTCAGCCACCAAGTTAAGGTTACAAGACAACCATTTCTACAACACCCTTGGAAGCTCTCAATTTTAACAAGCAAAATGTAGCTTTCAGTAAAATTCAAGGTATTACAAACAAAGACTTCATAGACCTTGCTCTTAGCACCAACCCGTCCCCCCACCATTCTTGACAAATTCTATAAAAGAATTTCAGCCACAAAGTTAAGGTTACAAGACAACCTTTTCCACAACACCCTTGGAAGCTCGCAATTTTAACAAGCTGCAGTATGCTCAGCAACATACTGCAGGATGGTTTAAAATCAACCAAAATAGTCTTAAGTACTTGTTAAGAGAGAGAGCATGAATCTCTGTGCAGGTCTCATCTATGAAATACATTTTATAAGCATAAAGCAAGAATACCATTAACTGTTCGAACACATTTCCATTTTTGTGCCTCAATCACGTCACCAACGTCCCTTTCAAAGTACCCATCTGACCTAACATCAGCAGCTAAGCTCGAGGACTGTCGCAAAAGCGTCTCTGGACCTTGACCGATTCGTATAAGCTTTCTCAATTCATGTGCATACCTCCTAACTCTAGGTCGATGTCCTTCCAGATTGATCCTTCAATGGTATAAAAGTTTGATACATGTTAAGACATTAACCTTTTTAAAATATTTTTCTCCCTGTGACTGCAGATTTCTTTTATATAAGAAACAAAAACATCGTTAAAAATGAAAACAGTACATCAAACGGAGAACACTAATGGAATTACGGCAGAAAGATAAGAACTAAGAAAATCAGCAGCCCATAACATCTTACCAATTTCACACAACCAGACTAAGCAGATGAAAACAAAAATTTTACATTAGAAGAAAAGAAAATATGATAAAATAAAATGCATTACATCATGCACACAATGTAGTATAGAGGAGAAGGATAGGTATAATTTAATCGAGAAACAATAATAAAACCTTGATCCCCTCAAAAAAAAATTAATAATAATAAAAACCTTGACCAGAAATTAGCGTCAAATCTAAACTTTTTCCCTGAACAAGAATGTTACAATATATTTCTATTCAATTGAACCAGCAGACTCTGCAACCCATCTATCCAATAAAATTCAGCAATTTTTTCTTTTACATAAGAAACACTTTGTAAACCAACTAGTTTAATTATATTTTTCTCTCAATCCTAACTAACATAATTCAGGGATCTTCTACTAAACTACAATGCTTTTTATATAGTTAAACAAGTTCAACTTGTATGAACTATAAAGTACTAAAGCAAGTGCATCATTAACAGAAAACGATAAGCATACTCATCCTCCATGTTCAGTTTGTTTCTAGAACTCCCTCCTCTAGACAGCTCATACTCGGCCTGCCAAAAGCAGAGTCGAAGGACATTAGAAAAAAAAAAACAAAAAAACAAAACAAAAAAAAAAACAAAAACAAAAACAAAACAAAACAAAAAACAAAAACAAAAACAAATCAAAACAAAACAAAACAAAAGGCCAAAAACAAGAGAGAGAGAGAGTCCTACAACACTTGTGCAATTTAAGAATCATATTGCAAAATAAATAATCTCTTGAGAAGGTTTCAAAATCAGATTGATGTTAAGTATCTTATGTGTCACAATTTCTTCCCGAAAAGATTTTATTTGTACCTCTTGCTTGGCATGATCAAATGCTTCCATCCACTTCCGAGCTTCTCCAGCAGTAGCACAAGCAATCTTTACAAAAGAAATCAAAATGTGAAACAACACATCCAAACTTCACATTAAATATGCTCAAACTTAAAGCATGTCAAGGGATTACCCATTTCAATAATTTGAGGCATTTAAAGCATGAACGAAATCATACATACAATGTCAATAACTATTTTCTTTATTCTCTTTCAAAAAGTAGCTATAAAACCATTGAGAAAAAATGCCAAAAGTAATAACACGTAGACGTTCTGCCAACGCCATAAAGTGGAGAACAAGAACTACAGCATACCTCGCCTTTTTTTGACTCATCCAAGCGATTGTAAAAGTGCAGGACATACACATCCTACAAAAGAAGTTGACACTAACTTAGATTCAATTATATCCAAAACAATATAGATTTTATTTCAGTTGGAATTAAATCTAAAATGCGTATAAAAAGATAATAATTTGGAAAAGTTAAAAGAAGAAGGAACAATCTTACACATTGATCAAAGCAGAAATGATTTATGATTTCACAAGGGTCAAGGACCTTACCCCATGGTTGACCCTTCGACGCCCCAGCTCCTCCACCATAAGTGTGGGCCCAACAACACCCTTCCTGATAGGTTTCTAGACAAAAATAAAAGAATCATCAAACATTAATTACTAGACAATATTAGACATTTAAACAATCATTTGCGAAAGCTGAATTTCAAAGTGTGCATAAATTTTACTTCATCTATCCAGGAGAGGGAGATAGAACATCAAAGACGCCCGATTTGTTAAGTAGGAAACACAAGAAAATAAGCCCAAACTGGATATTCATGTCTGTTAAGTAGGAAACACAAGAAAATAAGCCCAAACTGGATTTCATATTCATGTTGAATCTATAGCAAGATTAACTTTAGGTAGTGTCTTGAAGAAATCAAATACATATTTAACTAAGAAATCACTAATCGTTTATTCCCTCTGTAGGCGCTTTCTAGCAAACAAAAAAGGAAAAAAAAAAAAAAAGAAAGAAAAAAACCCCTAAGAAATCACTAATCGCATACGAACATGTCATAACGAAGGAACACTGACCAAACACATTGATTGAAGAAAAAACTATTTTAATTTTTTTTTTCTTTTGCTTTCATATCTGCCCTTTAATTTCAGCTATGTAACCAATTTTCTTTTCCTTCCCTGCTTTACACCATTAATGTCCACAACCTCACGAACTCAATTTTCATGAAATTCCAACAAAAACCAATCCTCTATTCCGTTTATTGATACGTATTAGACTGAACTACATCATAAGGGGGAAAGAATCTAAAGAAGAGGGAAAGGCAAAAAAGAAAAAAAGCACCAAAAACTATAAAACAACAAAAGACAGAAGAGTAAGCTCACAATGCCGGGGTTTTCATGGGGGTCCCGCTTGTACATCTCAACGTACTTGCCTCGGATGAATAGGAATCGGAGATGACAATACTCGTGGCCAATCGAATTCACGCCCAAATGGTAAACCCAACCGAAATACTCGAACACGCCGACGACGCCGCTATGCTCCGATCCGCTCTCCTTCTCCGATCCCACGCTCAACGACTTCGTCTCCATCGTCGTATTGCGGCGGCGATCAACTTCCGTCGAACTATTCACGACCGATTTCTCTCTCTCTCTCTTTCTCTCTCTCTCTCCCTCCCTCTCCCTCTCCCTCTCCCTCTCTCTATCTCTCTCTAGAAGATGGAATTTGATCTTTCTGACAAGAAATGGGCTCTCTCTCTCTCCCTCCCTCTCCCTCTCCCTCTCTCTATCTCTCTCTAGAAGATGGAATTTTATCTTTCTGACAAGAAATGGGGAGGAGAGAAAGAGAGAGAAACAGCCGTTGAAGGGGAGGACTCGGAGCGGACAAGACAAAGACAGCACCGTTGAAGCTTCTTCCTCGCTATTTTCTTTTTTTTTTTTGGTTTCTCTAATTATTCGTGTGTGACTTATTTATTTTACCGATTTGAGTCATAAACAGTCACATTTAATTTTTTTATTATAATAAAAAAATTTTATATAAAATCACATTTATCTCAAATTAAAAACTTAAATTAATAAACTAAATGAGTCATATAACTTTGTATTTAAACCGTACGTGTGGCAATGGGGCCAGACATGGTCCTCAAATTTATTGGGGTGAATTTAGTCAGTCAACATGCATTAGGACTAGCGACGTCCACATATTATGATATATTTAATTATTAGAATCTATTTAGTTTATTGATTTGAGTTTTTAATTTGAATTTAATGTGTATGTATGTGAGAACTTTTATTATATTAAAAAAATTAAATATGATTATTTCTGAGAGCTTTTTACTATAATAAAACTCAAATTAGTGAAATAAACATACTTTAATACTCTTATTATTCAATTCTAATTTTATTTTATGATTCGAAGAAATGCGGCACGCGCCGGCGAACATAATCGGCATGATCTGGTGTAAGTGGGTCCCAACATTATGCTATTTGATCTTGATTATGTAGGGCGTGTAGGTTTGAGCAGTTATATCTACACGTATAAAATTTTCCCCAAATAAAAGGTGAATGAGGGAAATAGACTAGATTAAGAGCATCATCAAGGGATTCTCTAAATTTTAACTTAAAAGTTATTTTAATTAATAATTTTTTAATGAGTGACTCTAATTATACTTTTTATTTAATTAAATATGAATTATTTTAATATTTATTAATTTTTAAATTCAAATAACAATTTTAATTTCAACAGTTATATTATTAACGGTCATATTTCTACCTTTATAAATAAGATTACTCATCTCTCATGTTCACCCATCTAAACTCTATTTATCAACAATCTATATCATCAATAGTTATGACTCTTAATCGGGTAGCCAATATGCTTTTCGAAGATTTATTAGCAATAACAATCATTGAAAAAGAAGAAATGGCGAACGAGGGTCGAACTTCATGTCATCGTGGTTCTATTCCAGGCCACGCCATTATTCAACATAATAGAGTTCAGGGTAGCCACAGACTTTATAGTAAATAGGCCATTTAAAAAGAGTTATAAAAATTAATTGGCCAAAGTTTTAAAATAGTTAGTTATAGGCCATTTAATGGTAAATTCAAGTTTACACTAAATTTAAATACCAAAACTACCCCTAATTAAATAAAACATATTCAACCCTTATTTACTACCCTCTCCAATTGACTCTCTCCTCCCCCTCTCTCTTCTTCCCTCTCCGATTGATGAAAACCGTTTGGATTCACGGTCGTCGCAACCATTGTCTTCGAAGCCAAGTGAGTCGACATAGCGACGGCGACGTCGACGGAGATCGACATTAGATCTCAAAATGAACAGATCTCCTCCACTCTTGCCGCGACAAAGAACTTTGCGCAGACTGCCGGAGAATGTCGCTTCGATCTGTTCGCCGCAACGAAGAACTTTGTCATGGCCATCGCGTGGTTTTGCAGCGATTTCACATCCTTCTCCATCCTCTCCTCGGCCTTCTTCGGAGCGGTAGTTTTCTCCTATAATTATGAATACCAAATCCTTGCACAGAGAGATGGAGATGACAATGAGCAATTCCAAATACATTAGACTATTTTGATAGATTGGATTTACTACTGTGTTTGTGTGCTTATTTTGAATCTTTGTTCCGATGACAAGAGAGAGGAGATCCACCGAGAGAGGAAAGAGAAAGGGAAGGTTGGAAGAGAGAGAAGAAAGGGAGAAAATAAAAAGATGGTAAAATTGGAAAATAAAAACTTTAAAAAATGAAAATGGCCCATTAATTTCTAATGTATGATAAATAGGTTATTTATTTTCAAAGGTTTTAAATGTTGTTCTATTTATTACAATTTCCTTACAATTAATAAGGAGTTTTTTTGATAGTCCGCTCCACCGGTAGTCTCAGTTTCTGATTATTAAATTTTATTAAAATCACATCCGATTGAAAAAGTATACGGAACAGACAGATTTTGATATAGATATGATGGTTGAAATGTAGAGACCACCGGCAGTTCATTTTTACAAAGACTCTAGAGAGTCCCTAATTAATACTCTCCTAATAAGGATTTTAAAAATCTACCCCTTTATAGATAGTATTTTTATAATGCATAATTTAACCCTCTTATACCTTCACTAGGGTCGACAATATGGATCACGACACGACAACACAACTCGAAAATGACACGAATTTCACGAGTTAAGGTTGAGAAAAAAGATGAACGGGCCAGAATTAGGTCGACCTGAAATTGAAATGAAAAACACTGGTCAATTTCAGGTTGGACCCGCCTAATCTGAACATGACACGAAACTCGTACAAAATCTTATACTATTATGAACATGACACGAATTTCACGGGTTAAGGTTCATCACATATTTTAAATTTTATTATGAACTTGTGATATTATGATAGTTATACTTAAAATCTTATACTATTATGAACATGACACGAATTTCACGGGTTAAGGTTCATCACATATTTTAAATTTTATTATGAACTTGTGATATTATGATAGTTATACTTAAAATCTTATACTATTATTTGCTTAATTTTGATGGATGATATTGTATTTTAGTGTGTTATGAATGTTAAGTTACTTCTAATATATACAAAACCAAAAAAAGTATATAATTTTCGTGTCAATTTCGGGTTCACGAGTCAATTTTTTACAACGGGTCATTTTCGTGTCGTGTTGTGTTCGTTTTGCGGTTTTTAAAAATTTCTTGTCACGGTACATGTTTGAGTTGACTGCAATTTAGGAAAAAATGATCAAAATACGACATAAACACGATATGTGACACGAATTGTCACCCTAACCTTCACTTTAATTTAATTTTAATTTTTTATAAATTAATAAATGTAATTAACTTTTTTATGTTTTGGATTCCTATTTCTTTACAAATTTTCGACCCTAAATTAACTTTTTTATTTAATTAATTTTTTTAATCACTTGGAAGCCAATTTGATTATACGTTTTCGTTCTTCTCCAGCCGAGTCAGATTTATGTGAATCTTATTTCAAATGGACTACAACTAACATTCAAATATACTAACAATCAGATAAAAAAGAATGTAATTAAGAAACTACGTATATTTTAGTATTCAACGGCGTTTGGCACAATTAAAAAAAACAGAAATGAAAATGATTTTTTAGTTTAGTGTAAAAGGGAAGTCGTTTTTCATTTCTTGTTTCATTTTCTCCTTTCTCGAGCAGAGAAAGAGACATTAATGGGTTTTTTATACTGAAAACAATCTCTTGATAAAACTACAAAACACATTTTCAAAAATAATTTCTGTCTGAAATTAAAAACGTTTTTATTTTCATTTTCATACAAAAAATGAAATTATTTTAAAATGAGTTCCAAACGCACCCAATATTTCTTTTGATTTTTGGGTCACTTGAAACCTCCATAAAGATTTTAAAATAATAAGAAAGGTTTCTAAAAAAAAATTGATGGAGAGAAGTTTATGACTCATACAAGTGAATTTAGGGTTAAATAAAGATGTGAGTGTCTATGTATTTAATGTGGAGTATACATGAGAGTGTATAATAGAGTTTTGATGTAATTGTATTGTAGAGTAAAATTGCAATAAAGATAGATTATGATTTGATAGGGGTATTCATGAATTTAATATGTGTAAATATAATTACTTTATATAATAATGCTAAAACTTTGACGAGAAAAAAAAAGTTGTTTACATAAATGCCTATTATGAGCACCTAGAATCAAAAGTAAAAATGCTTGTGTTTTTTTTTTTATTATTTACCTATCTACTATCATGTATATAAAGACATTTATATCCTCAAAAAATAAAAAAATATAAAAATAGGAAAGAAAATGAAACAAAATCTGAAAATAAAAATTCTAAATTTTAAATATAAAAGTCAAATTATTACATTTAATTTAATCTAATCTAATTGTTTTAAGAAAGGAAAAGTTTCATTAGAAAAAGAAGAAAAATCTACTAAATCCATAGGCTATAAAAGGGAGAATGCCCCTCCATGGGGAGAATGCCCCTCCATATTTTTCTACTCTTTTAGCTCTTTTTTAGTTTTTATTTTTTTCTTCTTTTTCCTCCCCTTAGTTTTTTTATTGCATCTGTTAACCTTTGATTTTTCAGCTTCAGTTGTAAAATATTTCACAAAAGTTTTTTTCTTAAGTTTTTTTCTTTTTTCCTTGTCATTTGCTTTAGATCTTTTTTTTTTTTTTGCATTTTTGCCTTTATTTCTTTTATGCTTTCTTTTTTCTTCCTCTTTTTTCCCTAACAATTTGTATAACTATTATTTTTAATGATTCACGCGCGTAAAGCATGCGTTTTTTATTAGTATATTTTTAAAAATCCCAACCTAAAAAGTTTGCAACCTCAATAGTTCCTCCAAGTTGAGTCCTTCCACCCTAAAATCAAACAATATATTCATTAAGTTAATAACCTTGTGATATTGAGAATGGTATTTTTAAAGTATGAAATGTAATATAATATTTATTATTTATTTAATAAAAGAGTTTATTCATTATTTTTTGTGTATATATTATTGAATATTTTATGAGTATTATTAAAAATTCTATGATTACTTATGTAACTTTAACTATTGTATATAAGAGTTTTATACGGGATGATAATATTTAAGGATAATAATCGAAACATGTCATTATGAATTAATTAAAGCTTCAGAATCTTTAATTAAAATATTATTAATACATGTCATTACAATTGAGAATGAAACGATGTTGATGCTCGAAAAATTGCACGGTACGGATTTGGCCCAAATCCTACAACACGACTCACAGTATGGTACGTGGACCCAAGCCACGCTTCGGGGACTTCTACGTGGGCCGTGATTTAGCAGTTCAAGGAATGTGATCGGTTCCCTCGTCAC